TCCGAACATGAACATAATATTCGAAAATTAATTCGAACATTCTTGACTTGGACAATTAATTCGAACATTAATATTTCGAATAGTTCGTCAACTTGGCTTATTAATTCCGGACTCATTAACTTATTAAATGAATCGGAATTAAATCTGAAAACTTATCGACTAATAGTCGAACTTTAACTGAAACTGAAAAATTTTAACCTTGAACATGAATCTTTATTAACAAAGGCTAGCTTTAAATTAAAAGCTAGTATTTTCCTTTATTAATAAAATTCGGGGTATAACATTTTGATTATTGTTTGAATTATGTGGAATGTGTTTTGTTCAATCTATACGAGTTGTGTAAATTATAGTCTTAGTTTATTAATCGCCATTCTAACCTAGTTAATCGACGTGTAGAACCGATAGGGGAGACGTCGGTCGATTTAGGCTCGTATAGAGTAGACATGTTCAGAAGCTATTGTCTATGTGTTGCTTGTTTGAATGAGTTTATTGTTTATGTATGTGCTCTTGTTACGAAGAGTTATTGAGCGTAGCCCTCTAGACGTGTAGGCTTGTTAAATTTCGTAACCGTACAAGTAATCGTTCAACATAGTTTAAGACTTGATGAGATTTCTCAACCCCTAGAACTTCTTCCTTTTGTCTAGAAATTTAATTGTTATTTCTTTAAATCGCTTTTCTAGCTCTAGCTTGTTTCAGATAATTCCCCATATCAACCGTGATTAGAATGTTTATGACTTATTTTCTTTTCGTGTGTGATCAATACCAACGCTAAATTCCGAACCATCTTCCTTGAGAGATACGTGCATTATTAGCCATTCAGATTGAAGAGCGGGTACTAATATTAGGGATTCGCGTATTTTAGAGCATTTTCTGCCCGTGGGTCAGGAAAGTCAGAAGGCTTTCATCCTTTTTCAACCTATCAGGAAGAGACTCTGAAGATAGAGGAAACGGGGGCCCTTTTTGAGCTCTAACTTCCAGAGATTTGGGAAAAGGCAAAAGCCCTAACAGTCGGGCAAGGAAGAAAAGCGACCCGGGGAACAATATTTTGATTCGGTGCTCGATAAAAATAAAAATAATTTGCTACAACACTACCCTTCTCTGCCTCACACATGCCTGAAAGAAACTGGTGTTTCGTCCCCCCCTTTCAACCATCTAACCCTAGATTTCTACTTCCAGTAAATTTCCTCATTTATGTAAGCTCTGTGAAGCTTTTCCCCACACTCTTTTCACTCCTCTCAATCCCTCTCTCCCCCTTGCATTCCCAACAATTCAAGTTTTGCATTAGATACTTTTATGAGAGCTGCAGAATTTGTGTCATTTTGAGCTACCCACCCAATCAGCCCCAACTTCACACTTCTGAGTTTTTTTTTTTTT